AATTTCTTGTTGCAAGATATTAATCAAAGAGAACTGAAACATACGAATTAAATAGTTAATTAGTTTTTTCTAATATTTTTCTGCAATGCAGTTGGAAAAACCATAAACTAAGATGATGAGCTTGTAGCCTTTGATTATGGCCTTGTCAAGAAAAAATTATCAAACTATTGAAACGAATAACAGACAGTTGGGTGAATATTGATAAAAACTGTATTAAAAAAAAAGTATCCTTCGCCATCAGAGTCAATAAATTCATTTTGATCATGTCCTTATTACAATAAGAATGGATTAAAAAGAATTGCTAGTATGAGTTTACTTGAATTCTTGTCAAGAAAATATCTTATAAAATAAAGTAATAATTTTATCGTTATTTTTTAAAAATCTTTGTACTGCACGTTCGCTTTTGGAATCGAAGATATGTATTCAATAAATAAAGCTCCCTTAGTTGACATATCCTGTTGTTATGGCATGGAATTGCTTATTTTTCAATAAAAGAAAAAAGTTGTACATTTATTTTTATATTCTTTATTTTTCAGGAATAAAGACTTTATTTATATTTATTAAGTAAAGTAAATATAAAGTAACATCCCTAACCAAAGCTCAGAATAGTTGGTTCTATAAAGTTCTAAAATGAAATGATAAAGAAAATTCATCAACATGTTACGAATACGCCATAAATCAATTGAGATCACCTTCACAAATATTTATCATGACTGCTTATTGTTATAGTGTTCTTTAGAGTATAGTAAAATCCATTGGTTAAATATGAATAGACAGTACCCAATAATTGTATTTTTTATTTGAGAAATCTTTCTCATCAGGGAACCTATCGAAATCTATATATACTTATTCGAAGAGTATATTTTACTGACCTTTTTCTATAAACAAAGCAATGCAACTACATTTTTACAATAGAAATATTTCCAATACAAATCGAAGTAGAACTTTTGAGTCATTGTTTGTCATGGACTAAAAACAACATTTGCACTAGGATTTCAAAAAAATTTCAATAGCAAAAAAATTAAATTGTACATATCTACATAAAGAAAATTTCATGTAGGAAAATGCTCAAATAAGATGAATGTAGTTATAGAGCCAGATTTGAATCGATTTGGTTGAGCATCGCCGTCGATACGGACGATTAAGTGGATATTGATGTAGTTGTTGTCGGATTAGATGTGGTATACAAGGTGTTTCAGAGCGAGCAGAGTATGGGTGAGTGGGTGTGGGTGTTGGTCGTATCGAACACCACACCCACCCACACCCACACCCACACCCTATAACTCTGAACAGAAGACATAAGGACGCTTGTCCCTTTGAGAATTTTCATATTTGACTGAGATCTGCCTAATGGAAAGACTCTAAACTCAAAAGTAATTGGCCAGTTGAAAATGTTCCCTAGTCAGTGAATTGCTAGAGAAAACAGTTTTACTTGATAGACCTAGTTTCCTGGAAAAAAAAATAATTAGATGCGTTCTTAGTTATAACCATCTTATCGTCATCTTGTAACAATAACTGATTAATTTAATTTTTCTCAGAGATGGTTGCAAAGCGAAATTAAATCAAGAAGTCATTGTTACAAGATCATAATAAGTAAGAACTCACCTAAACTATTTTTTCAAGAAACTGAGTTTATAAAACACGACTGTTTGCTCTAACCATATACTCAGTTCAGAAATCGAACGTCCAGTAATGCATAAAACTGTACGACAAAAACTATTGTAACTAAAAAATCTTATCTAATTATAGTGAGAGAAAACGAACTACTTATTGAAAACAAACAGCATGCACTTTTATACTATTTGAATATCTTTCTATTTCTGTAACGAAATGTTAGATAAAAACAAAATAGATTTGTTTTAGACAAAGTCATCTATCATTCTACTACCATGCACTGACTACTGGATGGAAGAAAAGGTTTATATTGAGTAAATACGAAACACCGACTTTCTGTTAGGAATTGAGTACTTGATGGAAAAAATATATGTATTAAAAATAGTGTCCAGTGTCCATATTATATCGCTACTAAGTTATTACCACTTGGAAATTTGGATTAAGAAATATATACTGAATCGCAGAAAAACAATCGTACATATATTTTAATAAGAAATCTGTTTTTCTATTCTTATGAATTGAATATTAGACGAAACAAAAGAATTTTGTTAAGTCATAAATCTTTGTCTCATATTGAAAATGAACTGTACAATGTACGAAAAGACGTATCTTTTTACAAAGTAACACATGTCGATTATTGTTACAAACAAGTTGGATAACAAAAGATGTATGATAAGTAGGAAAAAGCCTGTTCCTCTATCCTTACGGTTTTGACAGCCCACTAAAAAGGAAAAAAAAATATTTAAGAAAATACTCTCCTGTTCTCAAAAATAGAATATTAAACAGACAACAATGAATTTACATATGAAAGAAGTAAGCATGTTCTCACTCTTATTGATTCATAATTTCACGAGAAAATATATGTTATGGAAGATGCGCTCATCTTCTATTGCTACGAATTACCCACTTTTACGAAAAACAATACAGGTTTCTCTTAACTCAAGAGGTTTATTTTTTATCTTTGTAAAGCTACTGAAAGTCGTTTGATAAGTGTAGCGCTGATGCTTGTTTTGAACAATGCTCGTCAAACTTATCTATGTTCACAATTTCGATTTAAGAAATAAAATATTTATGGACTGATCTATTGATCATGGAGAATTACTTAACAGATAAAATCATAATCATTTTTGTTAGAAGTAACTTTAAATTTCAAAACAATCTAAATATATCTTTCATATTTTAATTAAATACATACGAAAATATATAACTGTCGGTTTATGGTAAAGCATTTGCCAGAACAGACATTTGTACCGGCATCTTTATGCAAACTAATAGTCGTGTGACGGTTATCTATAGCAGATTTTACTTTTTTCTCAGAATCATAATTAATGTGGATTCCAATTCTTGGGATTTAGAATCTTCTATTTTTGTCCAAAACTTTTTCATCATAATATGAATTACAAAAAAAGTACATACCAAAAACGGCAGCAGTTCGGTTCAAATCAAAATTTTCTCTAATCGCATATTTTAGAGCAAGAAAAAAAAAGGAAAGATGCTATTTCTCTTGTCAAAGTGAATAACCGATAAGAGTCAATTGTCAAAGAAAAACTAAATCTGATTTTATCTAAAAAAATTGGGTAAGAGCTTTATAGTCTATATACATACACTCGGAAACTCTCATTTTTCAGTTAGAGTGGGTAGCCAAGCAGTGAGAAATGAGACACTAATGTATTTCAACAAATCTCTTTTTCTCTCCTTCAAAGCACTTCAAACATACGTTTACGCATCTCAGTACGTTTATAATGATCGAACAATGATTGTTTTTATAGGATTCATTAAAACAAAGATGAAAAAATGATTCTTTGATAATAAAGAGTGTCTCTGCCAGTAAATCGGGTTTTCCACTAGATTCATATGGTCACAGTGTCCTAGAGAAATCTATTGCCACAAATTGGGTATTTTTTTAATATTCATGTTTTTAATTGATATCAGTGACGAATATCGTATTTCTAAGCGAAGGACCACGACAGCAATTTGTTTCATAGGCTGTACAAATTATTCAAAAGTAGATAAATAAAAGGCGTTTTTATTTATAAAACGATGAGACCAGGACAAGTCAAAAAACGCTAATACTAACGGAAGGAACCCGTAGTTCGAGATGAATTACAGAAGAACAAACAGATCAAAAATTTAAATCATTAGAGTGAAATTTGTATTTGAAAAGTTTGTTTTTCCAATTTGAACTGATCTAAAATATTTTTCTCTTTGTAACTTTATTTTCTCCTTTGAGTATCGAAATTTTTGGTCGACCACGTGAAGTTAATAAAATTATTGTTTTACTTTAACAAACACTTGAAACAGATGATTTCGATGTTGAAATATATTGTTCTCTAAAAAATTACCGCATGAAAACGTTAAAATAAGTCAACTCTAATATATTCTACTGGGAGTGCATAAATTTGTTTAAATCGGTTAAGGTTATTGTATTTTTCTATGTACGTGGATAGTTTTTGAAAAAATATGACGAGATTGAAAAGAAAAACAAATAAAAGGGTAGAGAAATACCTAGGACACAGATGTGGTGAGTGTAGGTGGGATGACTTGTGAGTGTATTTCTTTTTCTATCTGCATACCAACACCCACACCTTAAGCGGTGATCACTTACTACTAACAGTAATGGTAATATGAGGTTCCTAACCACCATTTGAATTAGATCAGTATTCTTTAATGTAAAAGAAAAATTGAAAAAAGCAAATTCGTTTAAACTTTTTGTCGTTGAATGTAAGCATTTTATTTGTTGTTATAAGATGATTGTGCATTAAATATGAATATATTAAGAAACAATCATTTTTTGATTTAATTAATGAAAAATCCGCTATATAATACCTTTTCTAATGCAATTTACAAATTTTGAGCACGATATTACCTTTCAAAACAAATAAAGTTTTCTAAAACTGTCAAATAATATATACTTTATTTCAAACAAAAAATGAAAACAATACAGAAATAGTATTATCATACTATATTGTCAATAACATATCTATAGTCTATATTAGTATGTAAGTTATAACTATCATCATAGGTATATGAAGGTCGATTATAAGTTGAATAAAAGCCGAATGTATATACATATAAGTATTTTAGAATTGTTGGAGACACGGTTTCAACTATCAAAATTCTGAGTATAATTACTGGATAGAGTTCGTTGAGTTATACTTGAAAGAACACTATGGATTTTTACATAGATTCCTCGGTGATTCACTTACGGTACGACTCAAACTGCATGGTTACCTCACCTATGTATATTATTTTTTGTCATGAAAATGCAGTGTACTTTGTTCTTTCTTTTCTCCATTATTCACGTGTTTAAAGGCAAGTAATCGTTCTCTTTATTATTCTCGTAATTGCTTTCATTCATTCATTCATCCATTATCAAACGGCAAAATATGTCAACGACTGTAGCAAACGATTTAGAGAAGAAAATTGTCAACTGGCTCGATGCACATGGAAACAGATTTGAACTTGATATTTATGAAGGTTCGCTTCGTCCACTGACACCGACAATATATACACATTCAAGTTCTGGAACATCAATCAGTATTGGCTTCAAAAACCCACTTCAACAAGACACAGTTGACCTTGAAGAATTACGACGAAATTTCAGCTTTATTGCACTCGACAGGCTTCCATTAGCCGATCTGGATGTTCCATCGAATTGGCAAGTTTATCCACAAACGCCCGTATCATCATTCGACGAAGGTGTTCATATTGATGCATATGAAAATAATCGATTACGTATGACAATATCTACACGTTTCTTTGCCATCTACGGTAGTCAAAAGCAGGAACATCCGATTATGGACAAAGCAGCGGACGAAGGCACATATTTGCAAGTCCGACGAGATATTGAAGGCGTCATTAAACTCGATCTGCCACTGGTTATCGAATAAAGCCGTATCTTTCCTTTTTACTGCATAAACACATATCTTATGTACTTAAATAATTGTAGTTTCCTCAATAATAAATTTATTTAGATATTCCTGAATTTGACTAACAAAAAGAAAAATAATTGCACTATTCTTGCAAATTTTGTGCTACTAAGACAAACAGATCTGTTCACTGGCATCTTGAAAGCTAACAGTGTCAAAAACGATGGAAAATAGGCATACTCACACCAATTCTCTTTATGTCCTCTCATTTTTGACAATATTAATGATACTATCAATCATATATATCATGCAAATACGTCAACTAACATTGAAATCTTTATTGAAAATAGAGTTCGGTTGAGATTTATATTAAAAAGAATGCAACAGTTTTACTTTACGGACAATGTTTGAACTGACTACTAATTCTATGATTTTTCAGTTAAATATAGTGACTGCAGTGGTATTTCCTCAATAGTTGAAGAATTTCTTCGGAGTCCTTGAATTACTTTTCGAAGTTGTATGGTTTCGAGGACAACTGTGTTTGCACCGATTCAATCTATGATTATATTTTTTTCTCTTGCTCACAAGTAGAAAAATTTTCATCACTATACAATTGGTTATTATTTCTTCGTGACACGTGTTCTTTACCAAAAAAAAATGCAAAGAAAAATTGACGCACATTATCAATCCACTAATGACCATCGATCAATTATTATTTGATGCGAAGCTGAGAAAAGAGAAGTATGCAGAAAAAACGTGAATACTCAAAAGGAGACGAAAGAAAAAGTTTTGATTCAACAAGCAACGAGTAGACAGCAAAGATAGGACCGGTTCGGTTTGAACTTTTTGAAAAATCACATAATTTTAGTTTAGAAATGCATCAATTCCTAAAACTGACTGGAATTGAAATTGACTATTGCAGATTTACTAATTTTGCATATATTTACATAGATAAACCATAATTCGATTTCAAGTATTTCACAACCGATTCTAAGTGAACAAACTGATATTTGAATTTGTGTATCCCTAGTTTGGTTCCAAAAAACACACGAACCAATCTCATTTAAAACTGATACTCTAATAGAGTGTCTCAAAAATAATGATCACTGTATAAATGTATATAATTCCACTACTAATCAAGCTTAATTGATTTTTTTTATTTGAAAGGAGGGACTAATTAGCACCTACCCTTTGAGACCAAACTCAGCAACACTAGAAAAGTAGCACTATTAGCTAAAATAGAAGAACTGGAGTTTTTCTTCGATACTGGAAACAATATGTGCTATTCTTTATCGATATTTAATCGAATTTCTGTCATTGTTATGAACTTCAAATTGTCTAAACTTTTCATAGTTTCTGTGCAATCGTTTGTTTGACATGCTTGCGAAATGATCAAATTATTGTTGGACTTCTTCAAAGCAGGTCATTTTTGGTTCTTCGTAAACGTCAAAAGTTATGCAATGGAATATGTTACAGCATTTTATAGTTCATCTGTTATTAAAGTTGACTCTTTGCTTTCTTTTTATAAGAATTTATCAGCTCAAGTGTTTATAAAGTTATGCTAAAAGATTTGAATGATCTGACGCTCATATTAAAGAGAAAAACTCGAGTAAATATCGATCAAAAATGATATATATATATATATTGTTTTATCAAGCAGCCCCTAGCTTTTTCTATTGTAGCCAAAAGTGCTACTTTTTCTACAGAGTTGATGAACTTGGTTTTATAATAATGAAAACTTATTAGTTCTCCTTTTCGAATAGAAAACAATACATGAATTAAGCTCGATCAGTAGTGAAATCATACGCATTTATACAGTGATGATGAGTTTTGGTACACTCAACATTCGTTAGCTGATTATTAGTTATCAATCGGCTTGGTTTGAGATTTTTTTGACTCGATCCAAGAAAAGCACGAACTGATCCCATTTGTGATAGACGTAACCACCAGGCAAACGTCTTCTGAATTATCGAAACATATCGATTAGCAACGTTTAATTATCAAAATATGCTTTCCTTATATAAATGGCCCTGACTGATGTTAACATCTGACGCATTCACTAGGAATATACAGGGTGTCTCAAAATTATTAGAGTCTGCTCCCCTCCTTCGCCTGAGTTTTGAGAACAATAAAGATTTCTTCAACTAAAGAAGGTTTCATTCCAAATCTAATCGCATATCCATGAACACATAGTAGCCGCCTATCATGTGCCATATTGGTTTGAATTCAATCAATCAGCATTAATGAATAAATTCAAAAACGTGTGAGTCTCCTTTGTCTCATAATTATAAGACCCCCCCCCCCTTCTAAATATAAAAATATTGAATTGATGCTAACTTTACCAAGTCAAATGATTCTTTTGAGGATCCATTCGAAAGAGGAGACACTCAGCTATATGCTGAACAAAAATAGATTGGCGAACACTGTTTTAACTTTCATACCGTTTAAGAAATTAAATGGTAGAAAAGTTAAATCTCAAAATTATCAGGGTGTGGGTGTGGGGTGTATAGAAAGAAGAAGAAAAATCCACGCCCACGCCCACACCCATCCACAATCCTAATTAAATTGTTGTTCGCGACATTAGTCTTAAAATTTAATATAAAGTAATCTTCGCAATCATTGTTTCCAAAATATCAGTCATACTATCAAGTCATTCGAAAGAAAAATAAATCCATAATTACTCAATTATTATGACTGCAGTATTCATTAGTCAAAAATTAAAAACCAAACAAATGAAAAAGTAAGAAGTGGTGCAGAAAAAATGTAATGGTGACTTATACAACAAATGTAAAACAAATTCTTAATATTACAAATCAATTTATTAAATTCATTTTAGCTTTTCAATTATTCACTCCTATAGAAAATAGAACATAATTATTATGCATTGATACTGGTGCGAATTAGTCGAAGAAACAACGCAGTAATTTTTTTTTGTCACTACACACACTCAGTTAAATGAAAAAAAATGATCAATATATAGGTGGGTGTGAATCTGTATTCCGTGTCTTCATTGAAGAGGATCCATACCTACACCCACCCCCCACACCCACACACCCCCATTGGACGAACATCTTTGTCTGCTCCTAGCAAGTTTATATAATATATATTTATTTTTGCCTCGTGTCGTTCTTCTCTTGCCTGCAGACGAGAACACATAATGAAAAACACTCGACAATGTTGCACCTGTAACCTCTCTTGTTTAGCGATTAAATATTTACTTCTCTTTTGCTTGAAGAGGTTTTTCTTACTTATCGATGAAAGATAAGAGTTCAAGCATTATTTACCCAGTGTAAAATATTTCAGAGACATGAATCCTTCACCATTTATTAGACAACAGGTAAGAAATTGTTTTTAGCATATATGCTTTTGCCAGATTTATAAGGTATCCAAAAGTAAGGTGCATGTAACCTTGATATTTCCATAAAATCAATTTAATAGAAGTCTAATTATCTTGCTACTAGGGGTGCACCAAATCCAAATCTAGTTAAGCCCAAACCCTGGGTATGATTGGGTTTGGGTTTGATGTGTTGTCCACAAAAATTCTAGATTTTCGGTGTCAAAGTACGTCAAACTCGATCAAACTTTTGTGTCAATTTTATTCAGGTTTTTTTGCTCTATCCCATACTACTGCTAGATTTCATCGAACATTAGAAAGAGTACTAAGATTTGATAAGATTTGATGAAAAAGTGGGCAAAAAAGGAAAATTTCGTCAAACCCTGTCAAACCTTAACTCTTTTTTTTAAAAGTAAGATGAAATCTAG